AAAATCTGCGAAACATTCAGCAATATCTGTGCCTGTGACAAATTCTTTATTGTTATATTTCAATACTGAGGGCTTTGAGGAAACTTTTCGTTTTAGATTAACAAAGTCATAAAAAGATTTAGGATTGGATTTAAAATTATTTTTAATCTTGTCTAGGTAAAGATTATACTATCTACGAGACTCTAAAGTATATTTAGATCTAGCAACAGAGTAATTAGTGTAGTCTATTGTTAAGCCTGATTTTTTATATTTACGAAAAAGCTTATTTTTAGAGTTTTTTAAACTTGATAACTCAGAGGTTATCCATGGATATTTATTTGAATTTTTAACTCTAGTGGTTGGAACACATTCCAGTTTAAATCTATTTAAAATATCATAAAATTTATCAATTACATATTCTAAATCTTTATGGCTGTTACACAGGCACACAGAAGCCCAATTTACGGAGGAAATGAGGGTATTAAATTTTCGAAAATTAGTTTTTTTGTAATTAAGGACAGTTTTAAATGAGTCGGACTGACTTTCTTCAATTACATAACTGTGAGTCATGGAGATATATAAAGTTGGATGGTATATATCTTCAGGAGTGCATATTGGAGGAATTCTGAATATATCAAAATGCTGTGTTATATTTACAAACGCCAAATCAAGAATTTTGCCGAGGGAATTTTTCACACTGTTTATTTGATAAAGATTTAAGTCACACAAACTATTTATAACATCAAATGTATACTGTTCATTTCGGATGGCAAAGGAATCAAAGCTTCAGAATCTGGCATTGGAAGCCACCTAATGGAGGGCATATTAAAATCACCAAGGATCAGAATGCGATCGGAATCTTTCATTTTTTCAGTGATTAAATTTATTGCTGATAAATGCTGATTATAAATGTCAAATGAAGATGAAGGGGGAATATAAGAGCAAGTTACAAACAATTTAGATATGCCCAATTGAATGGAAACACCAACAAATTCTATATCAAGAAAATCATTTAGATCAAATAAATTAGTGGTATATTTGGTATCAACTGCAATAAGGACGCCACCACCTTTTTTACAAACACGATCTTTTCTAAATATTTGATATTTTGAACATAAAATTTCACTATTTAATATAGATGTTTTTAACCAAGTTTCGGAGAAAACCAATAAATTATAATTGAAACCAATGCTATCAGTATATAAACTGGTTAATTTTGTATTAAGCCCCCTTACATTCTGATAGCAAATAGAAAATGAGTCATTTAGTTTTTTGGCGCCGAATCTGGTCTAAGAGGCAAATGAGCTAAATTATCGGATCTCTCCACAAATTCTTTAATAAATGCCCTAGCAGGCCAAAATTATTTTAATTCAACTGCACAAAAATAGTTTCAGGCACAACGATTTTGAAAGAAGATCTACTTTCAATTTTCGAGAAGATCTAAATGGTTTTGTTTTTCCGACGCTATCATAGGACTCTAGTGTATGCTAATAAAAGCAGTATCATCAGCAAACGTTGAGGTGAGAGTTTAATTGGTTGTGGGCATATCGGCAGTAAATAACACATGCAGAATTTGACCAAGATACTACCCTGTTGGACGCCACACAAAATGTACGATTTGACAAATAACTACAAAACGTTTTTGAGTGTTTTTAGGTAGAGTTTCGCAAGATGCCCAACTCTGTCAAAGGCTTGGGAAATGTCTTTGAATAACGCGGGACAGTATTCCTACCTTTCGAATGCCATTCTAATGTTTGTGACTATGCGGTGCATTTGCTCAATAGTACTGTGGTTCTTACGGAAACGGAATTGGTGGTCGGGGATAATATTGCTACATGTAATATGGGGAGTTAACTTTCTAAGTAATGTTGTTTCGAACAACTTTGAGAGTATAGATAGAAGACTGATGGGTCTATACGATTTGACCTCCGTTGGATATTTTCCAGGTTTCGGAATCATTGCTATTTCAGATTCTTTTCATACAGACGGGAAGTACCCTACTCGAAGAATGCTGTTAGATATGAATAACAATAGTTTAACGGCCGGTGTTGGCAATTTCTTGAACATGTTGCAGTAATTCTATCTTTATCCAGGGATTTTTTTAGTTTTGTCGAGGCTATAGAACTTTTGATTTCTTTTAGAGAAAATCGTATTGGATTCGGAACAATGTAATCAATTAGAGGTTAAACAACAGTCGATGGTCCGGGATTTGGTGTAAATACAGATTGAAGGTGCTTGGCAAATGCGTTTACTTTTTCTTCTGTGGTTTTTGGCCAAGTCCTATATTCTAGGCGAATTGGAGATTCGTGGGTCGTGTCAGTTCTCTCTGTGGGTTCCGGGTTATTTAGGAATATTTTTAAGTTTAGCTCTTCGTTTTATCTGAGTGCTTGTTTTAAGAGTTTTTCACATTCTTTTAGTTTTTCCCGAAACCTAGGGGAGCGGTGCTTCTTCCATCATCTTCTGGCTTTTCTTTTTTCAGACACGAGTTTTCGAATGATCGATGGATTATAGGAATTATTTTCTGGTTTAGAAAATTTAGTGGGAGTGGCATAATTGATAATGGTGTTGACTATCGAAGTAAATATTTTAACTGCATTGTCAATTTCTTCTCCGGACTTCAGGGAAGTGTTAAGATTCACATGTGTACTGACATATTTTTTGCACTTCATCCAGTTTGTATATTTATTTGGCAGATATAACGGGGAAGTTGCGAGTTGAATATCATTTAATTTTAGTTGGGGAACGGTCTGAAGGCCAGTACGTAGGCTGGCCGGTAGATAACACGTCCAGTGTAGGGGACGAAATGGAGTTTAAAAGCTGTCTACCTCTGGGTGTAATAAGTCTAGATCCCCAGAAATTGTGTTTGGCATTATAATCTCCAGCTGCAATGAATCTACTACCAAGAGATGAAATGTGTGAATTTGTCTTTGCTTGTACTATGTCTTGGAGGACAATATATTGCAGATGTAAATGTATTCGTTGAAGATAGTGCAACTGTTGTAGCTTGTAGGTGGCAAGGGATAATGTCGAATTTTATTAGAAATTATCACCGCAAGCTCTAGGGTGTTTAGTGTCGTATGTACTGTAATCGTTTATTCTAAAACAGTTTCTAGAAGTGAAATGAGTTTCAGATACCTGTAAAATGTGTATGTTGAGCGATCGAATAAAGTTTTCGACCTGGTGTTTATGTTGGCTTAAGCCGTTTGCGTTCCAAAACAGATTCGAAATTTATCTATTTTTGTTTTTAAACCATTTGCATTATCACAGATTGTTTCCCACAATTTCTTGCATCATGCTTTGCAGCTTGTCATGAAAGATTAGGATTTTCAAAAGATTCTATATTTGGATTTTTATGGTTGGGTGAGTCATTTCTTAATGTATCAGAATATAAGTATTACATATTCTGTGAAGGGAAATTGTAATTGGGAACAGTGGTTTTTTCCTCTTATTTAGCTCAGGGAAATCAGCTGTTTTGATATTAAATTGTGGGTTTTCACGTACCCGGTAGTTTGCAGGTTTTTTTGTGGCTAAGATAGATTTTTTAAGTGGATATATACAGGACATTCTCTGAAGTTTGCAGTATGATTTCCACCGCAATTGCTGCACTTTTTGACGTTTGGGTCAGTTTTGGGATGTGGACATTCCGATGATTTGTGGAGGTCGCCACAATTAACGCATACCGAAAGCAATTTGCAATACGTTTTGGTATGCCGTACTCTTGGCAGTTGTACATTGAGGTTGGCCTTTTCGTTTTTGAGGTTCTCTATTTTCACACCGCGACTACAAACAAGCCTAAGGTTATAAATTTGATGAAATTGTCCCTTTTTCTTTAGTTGCGAAGATTCGTATGCTGGTTCTACTTTAAACATAGGTTTTGGAACTTTATTTAAAATGTTGATGATAGACTTTGTTTCGAATGCTTCTGCTGCGAGAGCATCTTTCATGTCCTCTATGGGTGTAGAACTATGAAGCCCTTTAATTACGACTAGTCCTTTTGAGCTCTTGATCTGATAGGTGTAGTTATTTTTTTTTTCAGAATCCAGAGCACGAACTAGATCCTTATAATGCGACTCAGCATACGTTTGTATTTTCGTCTCTTGGAGATTTCCTCTCTTAATAGATACCACGTGAAAACTAGGTTTATCCAACATTTTGGAGAGTTTAGTGGGGGAGGTTTTTGGGATCTAACCGATTGTATTATTTCATCAGCCTCGTTATTCGAGCCGAGAATTGAGAATCTGTTGTTGTGGTTATTATTCATAGATTTTTGGGTTTAAGCAGTTGGTCCTTGTTTGGAGTTCTAGAACTAGCCTTTCGCTTCGTTACTAAGACATATCGATGTATGCCTGGAGGAACTTTGTTTTGCTTGGTGTTTTTTTCAAAAGACGCATGCTTACGTGAAGCGATACTTTCTTGATGGCAATTGCATCGTGCGATAGCACCTTTATATAATTTATTTTGGGCGTGTTTACATTTATATGACATTTCTCTTGTTTCGTTCGGAGTAGTCTCACCTGGCAAATTGTTGTCGTGAGAAACTCTCGACGATGCCGATTTAGAACGGTTTTGGGGTTTGGCTGTAAGATACCAGCTTTCGTGGCGTTTGGGCGCGGTTGAGCTGAAGTCTGACGACGTCAACTTAAGATATACTTTTGCCCGTTCTAACTTACACTTAAGGAAATTTTAGCAAGTTATTTTTTAGATTTTATTTCCTGAGATTTTTAATAGCGTCCAGTATGCTTTTGTATTATTTACGTACTTAACACCGGCACAATTGTTAAAAAATTGTTCAATATGACCTTAAGTCATGTTAGTAACATTTGACATTGTAATTCAGAACAAAATCAAAAATAGACTCACCTCTTGCATTGGTGATATGTACCATTCACTCCCTAGCCCAGTCACCTCATTTTTGTAGATATAAGGTTCCTGGGCTAGGACTGGTCGCGCTTTTATTTAATTTATTAATCAAGAAATCATTTTATATGTGTTATTGTTGCATACTTTGAACTTGATTTTAGATTTTGGGTTTCGCCAATCGGGGTATCTCTGGGCATTAGAAGTTCAAGGCCAAAAAAAGCAGCAAATATACCAGTACTGGAAAGTGCTTATTCCAAATCAAGTCGCTTGGATCATAAAAAAGTGAGTAATAAATCCTTTAAACCCCATTTTATTACTTTTGCTGTGTATGGTATTCTACAGAAAAAATCTTTATATTAATTTCATTGAATTTATTTGCAGATTGTATTACTGTCGAAGCATTTAGACATGACTGAGCGCCAGATTGAACGGTGGTGGCGTTTAAGACGAGCACAAGATAAGCCGTCGACATTGACAAAATTTTGTGAAAACACCTGGAGATGCATATATTATACATATAGCTTCATATTTGGAATCGTAGTTTTGTGGGACAAACCTTGGTTTTGGGATGTTAAAACTTGCTGGTATGGTTATCCACATCAGGTATGTTGAAGATAATTTGTGTAAAAGAAAATAACAGTAGAGAAAAATAAATACACATGTACACACAAGTGTATATTTTAAGAACTAAATGTTATAAATAATACTTTCATTGATAAGTAATTGATATATGGTGCGGTGGTTCGCCTCAGTGGCTCATCATTTCTGACATAACATTGAGATTTATTCTTTAAACGCGGGCATTTTTGGATCACTAATGGAAAAGTTTTTATCACAGCTAAAAGATATTGTAGCAGCAAATCTTGTGCCTTCGGTAACTTGTTCCACATGATGTTCGTTTTCCCAACCCGATGTAAAAGCACTGACTCTACCCCTTTTGGGTTCACGATGTTGTGCTATTTTACCCTTCGCCATCGACAAATATGAATTGTCACCTTTGAAATCCTTATTAAAACTGGTTAATTACAATAAATATGTATAATGGAATGAAGGGTACGTTTCCTTATCCACATGTTCATGCCATTTGTTAATCTAAAGAAAAATGTTTGATATGTTAGATGCAGGTGTTAGCTTGCGTAAAGCTAGATTTTCTTTAACCAATGCAAAATTTGTCTCTTTCGTCTGACCAATCATGTATAAATGACAATTACTGCCACCGAGATGACAGTAACTGCCCGCGTCCAAAGACGATGTTTAAATGAATCGGTTGCTTGTCGTACTTTTCATTATATTGTATTGTATTTTGCAAACGCCGTTGCCTTACACTTTTTTCCGTCACATTTTCTTTAGCTTGTTTCAAATTAATTTGTGTGTAAGGGTCTTTTTGTGGTAATAATTTTATTACTTTTTAGTTTGTTTTTGTAGCAGCTCATACATCTGTGTTCGTTCGGTTTCCATTTTCTGATTCCATTCCATTTGGTTCTGCCTCTAAGTCCAGTCTCAAAAAGGATGTTACCTGAATGGGTTGTGTCCATAACGAGACTGGAGTTAGCTTGGCTGGGCAGCGAAATAGGTGTAGCGTGTGCCTGTGCCACAAGCTGGGCACATGTTCTGCACATCGCTGTTAATCCGGGCTCAGTAAGAATTTAGGCGGCTGCACCATCCGGATCGTGATTGAGCCAAAACTAATTTCACAGTGGCAAATTTAAGAAATATTTCACTTTTTCGTAAAGAAAAGGAAAAAAATTGTCTTTGATTTTATGAATTGCATTAATTATTTTTTTTCTCATCAAAAGTGATCATTTTAAAATTGAAACATCGAATACAGGTAGTTATCAGTGTTTTAGAATAAAAATTTTTAAAAATAATGATGTAAAAATATTTTAAAAGTTAATTCAAAATATTACCATATTTTCGCCATATCCGAAAAGTATATGGAGTTTTAAAAAAAAATTATATCGAGAAGGTCTTAAAATTTTAATTTTGTATTTTAGAATGGAATGTCATATTTCATAATCAACAAAAAACTCGTGCCGTTTTTGTTTAATTTAAAAAATGCTGAAATCAAAATTTGAGTAAAGCCAGAAAAAATAATTTATTCTTTGCAAAACCTTCTAAAATCTGAAGACAAAAAGACAACATATTTTTATGAGAAAGGAATAATTATAAAAACATATAAATATATTAAGCCTTTCAATCTGGAATTGACTATATATTTATATATATATATATATATATATATATATATATATATATATATATATATATATATATATATATATATATATATATATATATATATATATATATATATATATAAATAATATAGTCAATTCCAGATAGAAAGGCTTAATTGCCAGCCAATTTTGTATATTTATATGTTTTTATAATTATTCCTTTCTCATAAAAATATGTTGTCTTTTTGTCTTCAGATTTTAGAAGGTTTTGCAAAGAATAAATTATTTTTTCTGGCTTTACTCAAATGTTGGATTTATACAGGCAATTTTTGTAATTTTTCCATTCATCCATTTGAAAACAAAGTACCAAATAATAAGTTTGTAAAAATACTTTGTCTGAAACTATCAAAATACCAAATATTGGAAAATACCATTATATATTTTGTAGGGAGAAATTCCCAAAATACCTACAATTTGGAAGTGCCTTTATATATGATTAATACTTAATAGTGGATTTATCTTCACAAAATTTAGCAGGGAGAGATTTTGTCCGCTCAGAGCTCAAAATGTCAGAATACTCATGATTGGGTTTGAAATTGTGACCGAAACCTTAAAAATACCAAAAAAAATCAGTAGTCCTATATGGTAGCCTTACCGAAACGTGGACCGATATGTCCCAATTTCAATGTTTAAGAAAAATATCAGAGCAATAGAATGCTTCCCTGAATTAATCTCCGTTTTTGGGCATCTCACCCCACTGTGCGACGGGTGGGGTGGTCTCCAAGCACAGTATTCACTCTATATCCTTCAATGGCTTCTGAGACCGCATTAGAGTGAATGCTATTCAGTCCCGCTTGATAGGCCTGTTGATCTAGAGGCTCTCTCTCTTATACCTCTGCACCTCTCATGAAGGTCTTTCCTAACGTGCCTGGGCGGAGGTTGCCTATCCACAAGATGGTGATTCGGGTGGCTTTGTCTATAACACCCAAGCAGGTTCTAAGGGCGGCATTCTGGTAGGACTGAATATTTTTCCACTGCGTAGCACTGACGTTTGCGGACCACACCGGAGCCGCATAGTTTACCACAGACCGGTCTATCGCGTTGTAATGTTTCCTTATCAGCTCCCCAAGTACTACCGGTCACAGATTTGAGGACCTTGTTCCTACTTCTAATCTTGTCGCAGATAGCTGTGGTATGTGACCCCTAATACCTTGGGGTAGTTGGTGGTCGGAATAATAGCACCATCGACCTCTAGATTCAAGATAGCCACATCTTCGCAGTCCATGTGGTGAAAAGTGTGGCCGTCGACTTAGTGGTGGATATCTTCATATCCCTCGCAGTGAAAAATGCGGTAAGATCAACAAGGTAAGCGTTTAACTGATCGTAAATGTCATCAATAAAGGGTCTGGACGCACGCCACGAGCGTACAATCATCTGCGTACGTTATAATCTCTATGCCGTCTGGAGGGCGTGAAATGTCACAATGTTAGAGGTTAAACAGTTCCGGAGATATCACCCCACCTTGGGGAACTCCCTGTTCCTACGGATGCTCGACTTTTTGTTTCTGAATTCCACGTACGACTGGCGTCCACACATGTAGTTTACTATCCAACGTTTCAAAGATGGCCGGAGGGCGGTGCGCTCAATGTCCTCGAACAGTTTGGCATGATTGACTGTATCAAAGGCTTTTGATAAATCAAGTGCAACCATAACTGTTCAATCGCACGGCCTGTTCTGTTGAGACCTCTACTGACATGTGTGGAAATGGCGTGTAAAGCTGTTGTTGTGCTGTTCAATTTTCGGAATCCGTGTTGATAATCAGCTACTGGGAAACACTCTCTTATGCTGGGGAGGAGTAAAGCCTCAAGCGTCTTTGCTACTGGTGACAAAAGTGATATCGGCCTGTATGAATCTCTTTTGCTGGCATCCTTGCCTGGCTTCAGGACCACCCTGCCCATTTTCCAGGCATCAGGAACTACCAGGGTGGCTAACGACAGATTGAGGAGCTTTGTAAGATACTCAACTCCTGGTTCATCCAGTTGCTTCAACATTACCATAGAGATTCCGTCAGGGCCAAGCACTTTGAATGACTTCACGCTTCGGATAACATCTTCCAACGTAAATTGTGGTGGTACCTCATCGGCTGGAAGGGATCGTACATGGCTTAGGATCCTTCTCTTAGCCCTGTCACTCTCGGGGTGTTCTAAAAACTGCCGATTGTAATAACACGCGCACCTCTTCGGATCTGTCACTTCTACGCCGTTAAATGAGACAGATGTTCGATCGTCCTTTTTTCCAGGGTTCGAGAGCGACTTAACCGTTGTCCACAATTTACTCGTTCCGGTACTGATGTTGCAATGCTTCAGACGTTCTGGCCACTTTTTCCGCTTATGCTCACCTACTAACGTGTTTACCTCCAGAGTAAGTTCCCTTACTCTGGGGTTATTATGGTTAGTACGGCGAAGCTCATCTCGTTCGTTTTCTAATCCCGCTGCCTCTGCTGGGAAATTTGGTCTTATTTCAGGTATTCGACCAGCAGGTATATAGCGAGCGGCTGCAGCTTTGATGATGTCCCGGCAACACCTATCTGCTACCTGAACATCAGATGGGTTGGGCAGTTCTCTGAAGCGGCCATTGGTATATTCTCTGAATTCTTGCCAATTGTCTTTCCCATGGCTAAGGAAAGTGCGTTAAGAGTCTATGAAGTCGGGTGGTCTGTTGATGGCGACAATAATGGGGAAGTGGTCTGAGCCCAGAGAAATGACTGATTGCCAAGTCACGTCATTCGTCAGATCTAGGGACACAATGGCTATGTCCGGTAAACTGTGGCAGTCTCCCCTTATTCAGGTGGGCGCGTCCTCATTCACTGTGCAAAACGTTGGGCTATCAATTTGCTCAGCCAGCGCCATGCCTCTCTGGTCATTACCTAGGACGGAATGCCATAATTCAAGATGGGTATTGAAATCCCCTAGCATCAGACGGTTATTGCCTACCAGAAGTGAACTGATATTAGGCATATAACGTGGGGCACAGCTATTTAATGGCGGAATGTACAAGTTGAACATCTCGACCTCGGCGGTTCCACACTTGACCGCTACCCCCATACATTCCATGTACGGGTCACTTAGAGTCAAGCTCAGGCGAGATAGGTCTGCACTGGACAGATTGGTGCAATAGGAACGCTAATCCTCCACCTCCACCCCTGGAGCGATCTTTCCTCAGTACGTTGTATCCATCACAACTTTGAAGCATGCAGGTGGTACTCAGCTTCGTTTCCGATCGCTGCGACCTTGATGTTCTTCCGACTCATGAAGCGTATGATTTCGTTAATTTCCTCGGAGACCATCACAATTGAAATGGAGAAATGACGCATTATCCGGAACATGAACAGCAATGTGTGGCGTCAACTGCTGCGTAAATTGCTGT